GCCAGCGGCAGAGGCGGCTGTATCTGCCCCCATGCTGCGCCCTCTGTCCTTAACGGCCTTGCCTGGCTAGCACCAGTGTGGGGGCAGGCGTGGACCAGCTGCTGTTCCCGCCCGCGGGAGGGGGCGTGACGAGGAAGGCGAAGCCCAGGTCGTAGAGGCAGAGCAGGTTGTAGATGGTCATGGCCAGGACCGGGAAGAAGGAGAGGCCAAAGCCAAAGCCCCGGTAAGCACCGCCCACGTGGAGGCTGAGCCAGTAACAGCACCTGCAGCACAAAGAGCAGAGAGGGGGTGAGACGCCCCCGGGCTCAGGCTGAGGCCGATAAGGGCCCAGGGAGCTTCCGCCATTCAAAGAACAGGAGCCGCCCTTCGGCGAGGACGGGAGGTTAAACGTCCAAGGGACTGAGGTTAAATCTGCGTTAGCCGGGACCCATCACAGCCTGGCACTTAGGAATGGAGTTAGTCCGGGGTTCCCCGGCCCTCCCCCCTCCAATCAGCCAGCTCGTGACACTCCCGAGGCCGATAAGGGCCCAGGGAGCTTCCGCCATTCAAAGAACAGGAGCCGCCCTTCGGCGAGGACGGGAGGTTAAACGTCCAAGGGACTGAGGTTAAATCTGCGTTAGCCGGGACCCATCACAGCCTGGCACTTAGGAATGGAGTTAGTCCGGGGTTCCCCGGCCCTCCCCCCTCCAATCAGCCAGCTCGTGACACTCCCGCCAGCGCGACCAGGCTCGGCACGTGGAGGGACCCAAACCAGCGGCTTTGAGGCCTGCTCTGGGCTCAGATACATCCCTGTGGACGTCTACAGGCAGGACAGCTGGGTGGGGCGGCTACGGGCACGGCCGTGCCAGTGGGAAGGGAGTTTAGGGCAGGCAGCGCTGCTGAGGCAAGCAACAGGTGGGGCACAGCGGCCGCTAGAGGGGAACCACGCCCCAAAGAGCTCAGCTGGGGACAGCTGCAGTTAATGGAACCCCAGTGATGGGCCAGGCCCCCGTGTTGTGCCCTGCTAGGGCGGGGCTGGCCAGGAGGCATCTAGGCACGGCCGTGCCAGTGGGAAGGGAGTTTAGGGCAGGCAGCGCTGCTGAGGCAAGCAACAGGTGGGGCACAGCGGCCGCTAGAGGGGAACCACGCCCCAAAGAGCTCAGCTGGGGACAGCTGCAGTTAATGGAACCCCAGTGATGGGCCAGGCCCCCGTGTTGTGCCCTGCTAGGGCGGGGCTGGCCAGGAGGCATCTAACTAGGGGGGACCAGCAGGCATGCGGGGGGCAGGGATTGGTTGGGGGCCTGGTTTGTGCTGCCACGGCCAGCCACGGTCTCTCACCTGCCGATCTAACTAGGGGGCACCAGCAGGCCTGCGGGGGGCAGGGATTGGTTGGGGGCCTGGTTTGTGCTGCCACGGCCAGCCCCGGTCCCTCCCCTGCCGAAGGAGAAGAGCCCGGCCAGGGTGGGGATGAGGCGCAGGTGCTCCTGGGCCAGGAACGTGGCCAGCACCACGGCGTTGAGGCAAAAGATGACCAGCTGCTCCACGGAGCCGGTGACGGGGCAGGCTGGCCGGGGGCTGCGGGTCCAGCGGGCCGATGGCCACCGAGCAGAGCGTGGCAAGAGCCCCAAACACGACCCCTAGGGGCAGGGCGACGGGGGAGAGAAGGGGAGATGGTTGCAGCAGACCTGCCAGCCAAGCCCAGATTCCTTAATGCTTCCCCTGGTTGCACCTTCCCAACTCTGCCCCACTGCACCCCCGAGTCCCAGCCCTGTCCAGCCTCACAGGGAGCTAACGGGGTTAAAGACTGGGCCATAAATACCCCAGATCGACGTCAGCTAGGGTCCTCGGGTTCTACTTGTGGCCCTGCCATTGAGCAGCTGCGTGCCTCAGTTTCCCCCTGTACAATGCAAATAACAGGCTCCAGCCTGGGGGCAAAGCACTAGGTGTTGCCGCTGGAGGGAAAGACCCATCAGAGGCTGAGTCCTTCGGCTGGCGAGACAAGAGCAGGACACACGAGGGACGCACCTCCAGCCTGGGGGCAAAGCACTAGGTGTTGCCGCTGGAGGGAAAGACCCATCAGAGGCTGAGTCCTTCGGCTGGCGAGACAAGAGCAGGACACACGAGGGACGCACCTGGTTCTACGCTGAAAGCCAGTGGTTTGCCCTGGCTCCGTGCCGCAGCAGCAATTGACACTACTCGCATGGGGACCGGGGAGTGATGCCAACAGCATGGGGGCCCCAGCCTGCCAGGGCCGGCCACCTGCTGAGCCGGGAGGCCAGCGTTCTGCGTGCCATGCGCGTGACTCCTCACCCACCGGGCAGGCAGGGGAAGCCTCCGTTTCCCCGTCTCAGAGGGCAACCACGGGCATGTCTAAACGACATCCCTCTTTCGAAAGAGGGATGTAAATTAGGCAGCTCGAAAGTGCAAATGAAGCAGGGATTTAAATAGCCCGCGCTTCATTTGCATAATCACGTCGCAGTGTTCTTTCGAAAAAGGGTATTTTGAAAGTGTAACGCGGTTCTTTCAAACTCCCCCCCTTTTTCGAAAGATCCTGTACTCCTCGTTTTTTGAGGATCTTTCGAATAAGGGGTTTTTCCCCCGAAAGAACCGCGTCTAGATGGCGGTTTCACTTTCGAAATACCCTTTTTCGAAAGAACGCTGCGACGTGATTATGCAAATGAAGCGCGGGATATTTAAATCCCTGCTTCATTTGCACTTTCGAGCTGCCTAATTTACGTCCCTCTTTCAAAAGAGGGATGTAGTTTAGACATATTCCTTGTGATTTGTCACAAATAAGTGACTGGGAAATAATGAAGAGGAATGTCCTTTAGTTCTCAGGGTGTGTCTACACTAGGACGTTAATTCGAGCTAGGTAGGCAAATGAGGCAACCGGAGTTGCAAATGAAGTCCAGGATTTAAATATCCTGGGGTTTATTTGCATGTTCCCATCCGGTCACCATTTTAAAATTTCACTAGCCCAAACTCACTGCCGCACAGCTACGTGCGGCAGTGAAACGTTAATTCGAACTAAGTCCTTAGTTCGAATTAACTGTTACTCCTCGAGGAATTAACTGTTACTCCTTCAATTACAGCAGGGCTGGGCTAGGCCAGAGGTTCTGCTGTTACAGAGAAAGGATGAGTGAAATAATAAATAATAATTACCATCTAACTCTTCTATAGTAACTTTTCAC